GTGGCGCGCGGAGGGTACCAGGAGCGCGTGGGGGGCTCCGGGCCGGCTTGCGGGGCGATGGTGTGGAGGCCGGCGGCGGAGGGGGACGGCGGGGCTGTTCCGCAGGCCTGCGCCGGGAGCCGCGCGGCGTCGGGCTCCGCAGTCCGTGGGAGTGTCCCCTAGAACGCGATCCTGCTCTCCCGCGCAGGTGTTCAGGCGCTTCGTGGAGGTTGGCCGGGTGGCCTACGTCTCCTTCGGACCCCACGCCGGGAAGCTGGTCGCGATCGTCGACGTCATCGACCAGAACAGGGTGCGTGCGGGATTCGGGGGGCGGCCTCCTTGTGCCTTTGACGCGGGGACAGCCGGGGTCCTGCGCTGGAGTTAGCCGTGCCCGGCGGGGTGGAGTACTGCCTGGGTCTGTCAGTTGCTCGTGCGTTCAAATAAGTTACGTGAGGCTATTCCGGCACACCGAGAGCAGTTGGTGTGCTCGTGCCGGTGTTTCACGGTCCTGAACGCGAAAATGAAGCGGCCAGCGTGCACGGTGCTCGCGGTTTTGCTTACTGTGTGGGGACCTGAGTGGTCTTTGTGCTCTGTTGTAGGCGCTGGTGGATGGACCCTGCACTCGCGTGAGGCGGCAGGCCATGCCTTTCAAGTGCATGCAGCTCACCGACTTCATTCTCAAGTTTCCACACAGGTAACCACCTAGTAAATCTTATAATTCGATTTAAATGTACTTCCTACTGTGTTTTTACCTTGAGGATGTAGTGAGCAGAAAGGCAAACAGTTGCAGGAGATGGACTTATGTTACTATAAACCAGACCAACATGCCCAATGTGCAATACGTGACTGTAATCCCAGGCTTCCTGAGGCAGGATTGCCAGAATTCAAGGCCAGCCTGGACTACTAGGGAGACCAGACCCCCTTCCGTGAAAGTGCATAGGCGTTATTTGCTTTTGGACGCTTCTCCACTGTGGACCCTCTGGTGTTAGCTTTATTCAAACTTGGAAATCCTTTTCTCGTTGTCCCTTTTTTGGAGTATTCCTTTTTTTTTTTTT